TATGTGGGGGGTATGTACACATGCACACACACAAATACATATGTATATATAATGTATACATGTGTATATAGATGTATAAATATATATTTGCATATGTTCATATATATGCATATGCATACACATATTTGTGTGTGTGTGTGTGCCCATACTGTAAACATATATATACATGTATATATATATACATTATAAGTTTGTATATCTCCAGTTGTCGGCCGAAGAAAACCCAAGTTCAGAAAAAACAAAGGAGGTCAGGGAAACCAAGCTAAAATGATGAAAAACGAAATAAATGAAAAAGAACAGAAAGGAAATAGTAAACGAAGACCTGGGGAAACAGGCGACAAGAAAACCTCTCGAAGAAATGGGAAGAAACGTGTCGGAACGAAAATACAAATTCCTGATAAGAAAAGGACTGGAAAACAAGGTAAATATGTAACTGTTGGGTGCATTCTTTATATCAAAATCTGCATATTTATATATATATATATATATATATATATATATATATGCATCTATATACTACATATAATATATATATATATGTATATATATATTATATATTGTATATGTATATATATAAATATATATATGCATACACACGTACATACATATGTACACACATATAAATATATATATATGTGTGTGTGTGTGTGTGTGTGTGTTTGGGTGTGTGTGTGTGTTTGTGCATTAGACGCCCATTTTTTTAATGTATAAAAAGTTTAATGCGGCCGTATTACGAACGGGAGCCCGAGCGCCGTAGGCTAGGGAGCCGGACGAGCACACTGGGTAAGTTCGATAGGCACAAAAAGCCGAATATATATATTGTAAGTAACAAGCCGAATTAGCACAGTCTGTTATCAAAAGCTTACAAATATATATATACATATATATATATATATATATATATATATATATGTATATACATACACACATATATATGTGTGTGTGTGTATGCGTATAATAATAATAATGTTAATCGGTTCATTGATTCTCATGCAGCCAGGAGCTGAAAATATACATAGTAATAGAGAAAACAGACAAACTACACATATATGGGGGGGGGGCTGTTCATTGACTCGTTAATAAGAAGTCGGACTATAGTGGGTATTATGCTCCAGTGGTAGCGGTCAGTGAGGGCCTGATGGGCACCAGTTTGCTGGCGGCGCGTAGGGCTCGGCGAGGCGGAGGAGCCTCGGGGGCAGCAGGTCGCGGTGGCGTGGATGGCACAGCACACACACACATACATATGTGTATGTATGTGTATGTATGTATCCATATTTATATGTATATATATACACATATATGTATATTTAAATATATACATATTTATAAATATGTGTGACTATATGTATATATACATATATATATACATATGTATATATATACTCTATGCATGCATAATTATGTATACATAATTATATAAACAATATATATGATGTGTATATTTATGCAGCGTATATACATTTATACAACTATATATATATATACATATATAAATACATATACATAGTATGTATATATGTATATAAATATATATTATGCATATAGAATGTATATATAAATCATATATAAATATATATTATGCATATAGAAATATATGTATATCCATCTATATGTCGACATCGTTACTAATGCGACATTTAAATGGGGCACTACTTACAATTGTAGATATTATCTTGGCCATGTGTTTATTTACATATTCTTATTTTGAAAGCATATTGATATAGCAAAATTTTGTTTTAGAACTAATAAAATCATAATAACCATCTATAACTGGCTGGTTGGGAAAGTAATAAGCATCACGTCCTACGTCAGACAAGTCCAGGGAAAGGGAAATATTAGGGAAAGTTTGTGGTGAAAACAAACACGCATGATTACGTAGTTTTTTTTCTCTATCTCTCTTTTGGCGTGGATACAGTGGAATTAGTCAAATGGGACAGTTCCGATTGTGTCAGTGAATGAACTGAGATTGAAACAATAGACCAAATTGTGAAAGAAGTGTAGGATGGATCACTTGTATTAAAAATAGCGGAAAATAGCGGGGAGTGTCTCGATTCCGTCTCACTTTGTTCTTATAGTATTCGTCATAACGATTATTGCGTTATAATTAGTAAGCAAAGGGAGGGTTGAAGTTAACTTGAATGTAGATTTAAACTGATTTAGCCAAAGAATGTTCCTATCCTTGTCTGATATATATGATTGCTAATATAAAACACACTGTAATGTGCCACCTGTTTATTATTATTCGCTTATGAAATATAAGAAATGTAATTGATTAAAGCTGTTTTTTATGACCGTTGTATCTTTGGCACATACTAGGCAGAGGAATCAATTCTCAAGCCTTAAGACTGTTAAGTCATTCTACTCAAATTAAGATTAGCCAAGTCAAAATTGGATTTTCCCAGGGTTTCCTTAAAATCTAAAACCTGGGTGTTGACAGCAATACTGAGGTAATATCATTTGTATTAGAATTGAACCCCGACAAATTGGCAGCAGTTATTTAGGAAAATGTATATTATCTTGTATATAAAAAATACACAATATGGTTGGCAGCTGTTTAGGATAGTTTTTGTTGCCGGTCAGTGTGATAAACATTAGAGTAATTATGATAATAAGAATAATAACTATAATTAGTAGCAACAAAAAAGATTGGTAAAAGAGATTATTTAAAAAATAACCTCTTGAACTATGGCGTACATGGTTCAAGAGGTGTTGCCAACGATGATGAGATGACTAGACATGCAGCACCAAGATGTATAGAGCAGCCGATAGGCATGGGTGCCAATATGAGCAAAATAGTTGAGGAAGACTATTGGGGAGTAACCACTAAAGGCGGTTGGAGGGCATTTTTCAGCTAGTTGGACCAGCTATCTCCAAAGTTAAGACAGCGTCCAGGAGTTAATGATTAAGCTTACCAAGAATGGGTGGGCTGGCCAGAAAAAAGCTACCATTGGCGCAGTTTCTGGATTGCAGAAGACATCTGTAGACTGGGGAGGGAATCAAGGCACACCGCTGCTTGGCCCCAAGGCTATCGCTTCCGAGTGGATTTCCAAAAGGGGCAAATGAAGCGGTTGAGTAGTGTAGTGTATAAGTTGAGAATAGTAAGTTAGAAAATGTGATTGCAGAAAAGAGATTAACAAAAGTGTTGTAGCTGCAAGAGTCTCCATAAGAAAATTGTTTTTGATTAAAGTGTATCAAAAGTAGTAAGCAGGGTTAGAATTAGTAAATGCTATAATTATTTTGTTTGATTTTCTATACAAATGAGAATTACTTTTACTGACGGATGTTTCTATTTACTTCCTGCGTATTGATTTCTCTCTCAGTTATGAGTCTTGTACACACACACACACATATATATACATATATATATATATTTTTTTTTTACTAATATTTACTATATTAATATCTTTCGAAGGGGGGACACATGTCGAGATCGCCTTCTAAAAGGTGCATTGGTTACAATTGTAAAAATGTCTAAACCTCATCAAAATGTTTAATCGTTTTTATTTTGAAAATCTATTAATAGAACAAAATTTAGTTTCAAAGTTAAAAGAGTAAATTGTAATAATCATTATAGCTTTGCTTAAATATTCATATTTCCTATTTCATTAGGTGGAGGGTAATCAGCAGTTTTGCCACTACCTCCAATGTCAGACGAGTTTGTTGCTTATTCCCTCGTGCAGAGAAAGGAAAGGTTAGGAAAAGTTCGTGGTGAGAATAAATACATCATGATTCTGTCAGCCCAATCTGATCAAAGTAAAGTGTAGGATTGATTACTTTTTCCTACAATGAAAAAAATAACTGGAAATACCGGCGACTAAATTGGGGAATAAATTCTATCCACCCCATGAGCCTCAAGACCGTGCAACCATGCTACTCAAAATAAAATCAGGTAAGTCAAAATAGGGATTTCTCAGGATTTCCTTAAACTCCAAACCCCCAGGTGGTAACGGCAATACCGAGGTAATATAATAATTTGCCTTAGAATTGATCTTGACAAATTGTCAGTGGTATTTTAGTTTCTTTTTTAGAGAAAATCGCGATACACACATATATATATGTGTGTATATAAATGTGTGTATGTATATATCTATATGCATATACTATATATTATGTCATAACTAGCTTATGTTCTCTGTTCAAAACAATACAAACCTCCCTAAATCTTTATCTTTTCTGATTTTCCAAAGGTTCCATAAAATGTACGAAGGAGTATGGAAGATGTAGGTCTAAATGTCGCGGTGATATTGATAAAGAAAGAGCGTGTCCCAACGGCAAAGTGTGCTGTAGAAAGCGAAGAACTCGGAACCAAGCTATAGTTAAGGCAAAAAACAATGCCTGCACAGGAGCAGGAGGAGTTTGCAAGAAACCTAACAAAAAGTGCAAACAGCCTCTTTCCTTTGAGTGTCCGAACAAAGATAGAATCTGCTGCAAGAAAACCAACAAGTGCACATCGAATGGCTTCAAATGTGTACAAAAATGTAGAGGAACGACCAAGCAATTCAATGGTTGTAAGCAAGGAAAAGTCTGCTGCAAGCAAGCAAAAGAAATGACCTGCAAACAAATAGGCGGAAACTGTAAAGAAGAAGCAAAATGCAAAACGGAAATCCTAAATCCCGACAAGAAATGCAAAGATGCAAAGGTTTGTTGCAAACAAGGAAATAATTGCCAAGCCCTAGGAGCTACATGTCGAAAGGAAGCTAAATGCAACGGGAAAATTTTGACTCCCTCTGTACCATGCAAGAATGGTAGAGTCTGTTGTGAAAAGGGAAATAAATGCAAAGATCTAAAAGGTACATGTCGAGAGGAAGCCAAATGTGACGGGAAAATATTGACTCCCTCTATACCATGTAAGGATGGTAAAGCCTGTTGTGAAAAGGGAAATAGATGCAAAGATCTAAAAGGTACATGTCGAGAGGAAGCCAAATGCGACGGGAAAATATTGACTCCCTCTATACCATGTAAGGATGGTAAAGCCTGTTGTGAAAAGGGAAATAAATGCAAAGATCTAAAAGGTACATGTAGAGAAGAAGCCAAATGCGACGGGAAAATATTGACTCCCTCTATACCATGTAAGGATGGTAAAGCCTGTTGTGAAAAGGGAGATAAATGCAAAGATCTAAAAGGTACATGTCGAGAGGAAGCCAAATGCGACGGGAAAATATTGACTCCCTCTATACCATGTAAGGATGGTAAAGCCTGTTGTGAAAAGGGAGATAAATGCAAAGATCTAAAAGGTACATGTCGAGAGGAAGCCAAATGCGACGGGAAAATATTGACTCCCTCTATACCATGTAAGGATGGTAAAGCCTGTTGTGAAAAGGGAGATAAATGCAAAGATCTCAAAGGTACATGTCGAGAGGAAGCCAAATGCAGCGGGAAAATATTGACTCCCTCTATACCATGTAAGGATGGTAAAGCCTGTTGTGAAAAGGAAACAACTTGTAAATCGTTGAACGGACTGTGTAAACAGGAAGCTGAATGTGAAAGCAAAGTGTTAAGTCCCAGCAAGGAGTGCAATGCTGGTAAGGTATGCTGCTTAGTCCGTACCTGTAGCGACAGAGGAGGGAAGTGTAAGAAAGAAGGAAATTGCAACGGCAGAATCGTCACGGTGAAGAAGCCATGTAAAGAATCCAAAGTCTGTTGTCTAGGTAAGTAAAACAAAATCACGTAAAGTACAGACCTACACGCATTTATGCATTTACTTTACCGGACAGATTAGTTTGTCCTGTGTATATACACATATCTGTAAAGTTCCATCAATTTTATTGATTTATTGCAGTATTGTAGATTTAAACACCGCTACAATATGAACAAAATAAAAGCGTAACGTTTCGAACTCGACAAAAGCAGTAAACGCCCAATGGATGAA